TTTCACTGGACGTCAGTTCCATGAGGGTGGAAATTTTGTCTCTTTGATCATCTATCACTGATGGATCCTCATTACATAGACCAATACCTGGCACTTAATAGGTGCTCAATAAATACTTGTCGATGTGAGCTTAGGAAGTTCAATGGCTTTTTTACAGTGCCACTTATGCTTGGGTAAGGATGACTGCCTGGGATTAAATTTTCTGACTCAGTAGGCTGTCAATCAACCGTAGTTGTGATCTGAATGCAAATCTCTGTTTAAAAATATATATACATTAGTTTGAATGATTTATAAGTAATGGCTAGGTGTAGAAGTACTACTGAGGTTAACATAAACATGGATCTGTGAACTTGCTGTATAAATGAAATTTTTATCACCATATATTCAGGAGCAATATATCTCATCCAACATGCATGTAAAAAAGTTTCCAAGTCTTTACTTTTAATGCCAAGTACAGATGTACTTTACTTTTATTACCAATTTTAGATCAGAGAATAGCATGATTCACTGTACTCAGGTAAACACTAGAAACATAAATCAGATGGTGGCTCTAAAAAGTTTGAGAGGATCATGACATCAATTTTGAAGACTTCTGCGAGCCTTGCATAGAAAAGGTTATAGCAGAAAGGCCCAGTAGAGCTGCCTTCATGAATGTGTGGCCTGTGCAGTCACACAGGACCCTGTGCTTAGAAAGACCCATGGCTTGGTTTAATGCTCTACTGTTTCTGTCTTGAAATTCTTAATAATGTATGAAGAAGGGGCCTCCATTTTCAGTGAACTCTGGGTAGGCAAATTACATAGCTGGTCCTGAGGTTAGTAATATTGAGTGATGACTACTCACTTTTCAAGGAAATAAGCAAAGATGGAATGACCAGAAAGATATAGAATTTTCATTGTGGTAGATCCCCCAGCCCTCTTCCCAGTTCCCCCTGTGAGGAAAACTGGAGAAACAGTAGCAGTGCCGTCCTGCTTGCTACTCAAAGTGTGGCCTGTGCTACCAGCAGCAACAGCCCCTGGGAGCTTGTTAGAAAAGCAGAATCAGGATTCACTCCAGAACCGCTGGATGGGAAATTGCATTTCCTGTGCACTCTATTTTCTTATGTTATTTCTTTTTTTCATTTTTATATTTCAATTACAGTTGACAGTCAATATTATTTTATAGTTGTTTTAGGTGTCCTGTGGCTTAAAATCTGAGAAACAGTTGAACTGTTCTGAGAGTCATCCAGGGCCTGTGATGATGGACATTTGAAGTCACCCGGTCTCCTCAAAGAGTATTTTCTCCCCTTGCACCAGAAAATCCTTCACCTGAGACGCTGCCAGTTTGGGATGTTAACTGATGTGAACATTTCTTTTGTCCCTTCTGTGGTCCGCTCTCTAGGATTAGGTTAATATGAAGGGAACATATTTGAAAAAAGAAGAACAACAAGAAGAAAGCTTGTTGTTTTTAAGAACATGGGATACTTCGAACTAAGCTGAGCAGGTGGAAAGCAGTGTAACAATAAAACCGTGG